GGTGGTTAGAAAAAAAAAAAAAACAGACCCATACGACGGGCCTTCATTATCGCATTTCACTTTTCGGCAAACAACCCCCGTCGTCGACCTACCCCCCATAGCCATAGACCCCTCTACCACGCTAGCCCCCACTGCATTGCCGCTCATGGCGGTTCACGCGTTCCTGGGGTCTGGTTGCGGGCCCTGGGTCCCCCGCCAGGGTGCAGGGCCGCGGGGGCGGGGTCTTGGAGCGGGGCAAAGATGGCGGGGCCGGGGGTACCGTGTGCGGGGTCGGTGGTCGAGGATGCGGGGGCGGGGAGCGGGGGTGTAAGTGGACGGGGGTGGGGTTGCGGGGGTCAGGCCGCGGGGTGTGGACAGCGGGGGTCAGGGAGCGGGGTCGCTCTCGGTGCCGGAGGTCGGGGGTCAAGGGTCGTGTTGTGGGGACGCGGGGTTCAGGGCGGGGTTGGTTGTGCGGGTGGGGGGTTCCGGTAGCAGGGTGGACTTTGCGGGGTTACGGTGCCGGGGTGGGGATTTGGGGCGGGGTCGAGGTGCCGGGGTTGCGGGGTGGGGCCTGTCGTGCGGGGCCTGTCTCTTATACACATCTAGATGTGTATAAGAGACAGGTGCCGGGTGGGGGGACGGGGTTGCGGGGTGGGGCCTGTCGTGCGGGGCCGATGGCGGGGCTCCGGGGGCGCTAGGCGGGGTTCGCGGGGGCGGGGCGGTAGCGGGGGTGGTTCCACGGGGGCGGGGGTGTTTGGTCCCCGCTGCCGGGTTCGGGGGCAAAATGCTCACACCGGCAAAGCCCCCAGGGATCCCCGCTCGACAACGCTGACTAAGACTGAGCCAAACCGTAGCCACATTGCTCAGTCTGCCTTAAAATACATTTGTCGTATTCTTAATTAAATATTTTTTCCTTTTTATGATAGGCTATAGTCAGACCAAATCGAAGCCACATTGTCTGACTAGCCTATTCAATAACAAAAATATATTACATATATATATATATATATATAATCATATTTTCAGGTTTCTCCTTATGTGAGTGACTTCAGACTAAGCCAAACTGAAGCCACATTGCTTAGTCCTCCATCCAAACCTCCCTTAGAAAAAAAAACAAGTAGTTGGATCTGACCGAAGCCACATTACCCAACTCTTAAACCTTTTTAGCAAGCAAATCACCATAACCCCATCAACCAGGCCTGACCAAAGCCACATTGTTTGGCTGCTTAGATAACAACTTATATGGGTATGACAATCATACCTGATTGAAGCCACATTGTCTGAATGTCAAAAACATGAACAATACAGTGTTCAAGCCTGACCGAAGCCACATTGCTTGACTGCAGAGAAAATAAAAATAAACAAAGGAGACCCAATCATTGGAAGCAAAACTACCTTTCTTCCACCTTCCCCCAGTTCATCCCTCTCTGTCTGACTTCAAACAAGCAGAAGAAAGAATAAAATTAAAGTTTGCGCATGCATTCCTTTAGTTTATTCTGACTTAGTTCGGGAAAGTCAAACATAAAATGTATAAGGATGCATTCAGTATAGTTAGGCATTCATAGAGAGATATACTCATAAGGGTTTTAACAGGGGTTTATAGAAGGAGCCAAAGAATTACCTCTTGGTTCCCTGCCACCAGAACTCCTCCCGAGTTCCGGCATAGTTCCCGCAATCGGTGGGCAGACTCCCCACAGAGTCTTGATGCGGTCCTACAAGTTGCAATCCCGCCTGCCGCCTTCCTCTCGTAACCTTAGACTAAACTTAGAGTGAGAAGGGCAGAAGGAGGGGTTTCAGACGCTCGAGACACAAGAGAGGGACAGACTCAACTCGCAAGGGGCCTTGAAATCTCGATGCTCCTGAGGACCCCGCAATGGTGGCCAAGAGTGCAGTGGAGCGACCAATCTTGCGGCCTATACGCACTGCAGCCAACACTCTGACGATCTTCAAGTCACTGTAGTAGTCCCTATGTACAACCAAATCACCTCCTCCAGTAGTTACGCCGCTCCTCCATGACCGAGACTTCACCGTGCAGCTTATAAGCGCAAGACTTTGAGTAGAGTCTACCCCATGCTTCGT